GCATAATGGCAGCCCCTCCCCCGCTACAGAAATGGGCAAAACGGAAGCGGAAGGAGGTTCTTAAAGAGACAGAGGCCAATTTCAAGGCGTTTAGAAGAGGAAGTGATGAGAAGATAAGTTTATTTTCTATTTAAACATAAAAACAGCATTTTAATAACAACTAAAGGTGACACAGATACTTTATTATGGTATAGTATTTAAATGCATGCCAGAGAAACACATAATATTGCCCCTTTAAAATTAACCATTTAGTATAAATGAGCAAAATGTAAGACAGTGAGCTAAATAGCAACAAAATGTTAGTGGAGATTTTTAAACCAGAATTTTACCCTCAGAAAATGAGCTAAATAATGAAAACGCGTTAGCGACATTTCTTAGCGTTTTATTTTACGCTTGGCGCCCCATACAAATCACTCAGAATTTGAGCAGCTTTAAATGTCAGAAAGTCAGTTCGTAGAGTTGTTGAGAGAAAGAAGACAGGAAKGTGGGAACCAGATGCTACACAATGTGTGAAGAAATTGGCAACAAGTGAGCAACAGTTGTGTCCTGCATAAGGCAGCATGCATAACTGGGTTGTTAGGATTTTTTTTTTCAGCTCGTTCTCCTTTCACAAGTTAAAAGGTACCAACCACCCACACTGCTTCATTCGCATTTCTTTCGCCGTCCTTCCTACTGATGAAGGCATGGGAACGGGAACCAAATTAGTTTTAGCATTTGCTGTGTTGCTGTCTTGTTGATAGTTGTGGCTTTGTTTCAGACAGGAAAAAAAGTTTGCGGGCACATTTTCTCTTCCAGAGTAGATCACATCAGCTGAAGTCTTTAAATCAAATCGTTTCCCTGGTTCGGAGCTATTATTGGGACAAAAGACGTCTGTTCGACCCTTTCCACAGCTGCTCCCTTTACACACTTGCCTGCGCGCACACCCACCCACCCATCTTTCTGTTCCTTTCCCAACCGTATATTCCCAGGGTAAAACACATCCTGGCTCTTCTCAAATTAACACAGTCCGTGCTCGGGCCCTCACCCTCGGAGTGCACTCTAATTTCTGCAGCAGCCAAAAAAGTTTAGGCTTCCTCGGAGCTGGGCCGTTTGTTAAAGTAATTTGAGGCCGAAGTGGCTTCTCGTCATTACTTACTGAGAGGTCTTTCTCCTTGACGGAGCTGTGGTCTATTTTGGTAAAAGCATTTGAAATTCCCTTGGCTGCACTTTTGTTGCTTTTGGGACAAACAAAGAAGAAGAAGAAGAAGAAAAAACGTAGCAAGAGTGTGTTCACATCTTTGGTTATTTTTGGCCCTCAGAGGAGATTTTTACAGTAACTTTCCGCGGGCTCACTGGTAATTTTAAGATTAGACAGGAAGAGCAATATAACGGTAATGTCATCACTGGGACAAGCGGAGGAGGACAGCCCCTCCCGCACAACCTCACCTTGCTTTTCTGAGGCAACTCGGCAGGAAACCGTCACACATGAAGGCTGGGCTGTTTGCGTTTTTCTTCTGCTTTGGCTGGAGTGAGTCAGACCCCTAGAATGCTGAGGGCAAYCCATTGACATCAGAAATAGGCAATAGTTGTCAGTTGATTGTGAAAGAGGCTCTCTGTTCATTGAGCTCGAGGCTCCTYGTTTAAACATGAGCTTCCTGGCAACCTGCTGGAGTCTGGATGCCTAAATAGGACAGCGCGGAAAGTGGTCATTGGCGGATTTACGCTCGTTAAAGGTGGGCTCTGCCCCCTCGTGCTGTTGTCCGACTTACAAGGAATAGGAGGAACCGATGATGAAAGGAAGATATGACTGATGAACCGAGAAGGGAGCGGCGCAAAKAAAAGCTGCCGCCATGACGTGAAGCCATTATTTACCATTACATAAGTTTTCTTTCCTGTTTAGTCAATACAAAATTCACACTGAAAATACAAACCAATTATGATTAATACCAGCAGACTGAAAGCTGTTGGTGGAAAACTGTTATAAACTAGAGGTAAAGTCAGTTGTTACAGGTAATATCAGGTTGTTTTTAAAAACGGGGTATTTTTGGCTCCTCTTGTGGAAACGAGATGTTGAGATGTTCATGTGTGGGTTTTGTTAGAGCCACTTTTATGGTTTTAGAGCAGAAATGTAGCCAGACTAAATGATCATTGGATCCACGTTTCAGGGTTTACTAACGAATAAACATTGATTAATACATTTTACACTCAAAAACAGCACTCCAAGGCACAGTTTGAAAGACATAAATATTAAAATGTCTGCATAACATCAACATATTGAGTTTAGGTTCGTCCATCCTGCTTTATTTTGAAAATATTACGAAGTGGAAACCATGGTCTCGGGCAGAAGAGTAATAAAGTACATTTACTTGGTTACAGTACTTTTACAGTAATTTTTTTGAGCATCTGTAATTTTACCAAGTATTTTTTTTAATTGTAACTTTAATTTTGTTACATTCGAAACATAAAAATTATACTTTAACTTCTTTACTTTAGACACTTACATGTTACAAAATTAACCATGATTATCATAAAAGGAGTTGTTTCTGCACACTAAAAAAAATGAAGTGTTGAATTTACTTAACCAAGTTAAGTCAACTGGTTCCACAAACCCAGGCTGAGCAATTTGAGCAATTTGTTTTTACTTGACATTTACACAACTGAGTTTATTGGAACCAGTTGACTTGGTTAAGTAAATACAACACTTTGCTTTTATGGTGAAGTACTTTTACTTTTACTTTCCTGATTATTGTGTGCATTTTTGTGAATTTTCTTATCCGTGAAAAACTTTGTACCAAAGTCATTTTCTGTTAAATTATTTCTACTTTTACTAATTATTTTTAGTTATTTTTTCAAGTACTAAGTAGTAAGTAGTAAGACCAGTACTCTGGTCATGGATGTGCCCAGCTTCACTCCCAGAATCCTCTTCCCTGGGGATCTATTAGACCAGGGGTCTGCAACCTGCAGCTCTGGGGCCACATGTGGCTCTTTGGTCCCTCTACAGTGGCTCTTTGAAAATGTGACCAAACATAACAGAATATTTTTTTGTTTTTATACCCACAATAAAAAATCAATTTGTAAACAAATACGTGATCAATACTACTAATACAAAAAGTAAAACATGTTAGCTTATGCTAGCCTGTTGTTTACTTAAATAATCCAACTTTTGTCTGTCTCTCAAATCCATCAGAATTACCTTTAAAGTATATTAAAAACTACTTAATAAGAATTAGAAAAAAATAAGCCTAATTCAGTTGTACTATTTTTTATGAAATTAGGTATAAACTATATAAAGTATTTTCTTGTTTACATGAGTATAGTCTTTTTATTTGTCCTGATGGGTAAAAGTAATAATAAATAATAAAATTTGCAATATATTTTTTGTTTTATTATGTCATTTCCACTGGCCGTAAAAGTTCCCGAAAAGGCCTTGAAAAGGTCCACAGACCRCCAGTTGATAATCACAGTTGTAGCTTATTTTGCGTCTCTGGACACATTTTATTACTGCGTCAGTAGCAGAAATGGCTCTTTTGATTGTAAAGGTTGCAAAGTACTCTTGAATCTGACGCTGGTTGGTTTGTTCATGCAGACACTTGAATAAAACGCTTAAATAATATTAAATAATATAAATCTCTTTAAAATAAAATGACTAAGTTTTTAGGCTCAGTCAGCACCACAGCTCATTAAACAGATCCCATTTCTTATTTCTGTTTTGGCATCAGTGAAACAAAAAGTCTGCAGTGTCAATCAATTAACGCCTTAATAAATTATCGGAAATGTATTTTTCGTATAAAGCTGCGCTGATCAATATTTTTTCCAATTACCCCTGGCTGTGCTGACTGTGTGTAATGTGAGCGAGGTATAGAAACAAATCCAGAGAGATTTGTCATATGACTCTGCTGTGTTTTTTGTTTTTTTTTTACTTCAGTTCAGTAGAATATTTTTCACATCTCGATAATTTAAATGTTTTTATGAATTTATGGTCACTTTATTGATTCAGACCACTCTCATTAAAAAAATTTCCAGCAGCAAAAACTTTGGAAATTCAACCTTGATGAAGCAAAATTCAGTCAGAATTTCTATTACTTGGAGAGGGAAAAAAAGAGTAGAAGATAAAAAAGATTTGAATATTTCTTAAAGGTTATGAATGATAAATGTATGATGTTTGTTAATAATTAGCTTGCAAGGCTTCCAAGTCCTAAATGTTTCATCAAAGGTCTCAAAAGTCAGCTGGTGTAGCTGTGACGGTGTCTTGCATTTTCAGAATTTGCTCACTGATTTGCAACGTAATGGCAGATAACATTAAATTATGGTCTAGAAGGCCAATAAAAATGTCTTTTGACTGAAAAACAATTCTATGAAACATTTAGAAACATTTACCAAACAAAGAGGTGATGTCTATTCTGCGTAAATACGACCTCCATGGACGAGCCCCTGGAGGAAAAGGTCAGTTTGAAGAACAACATGGCTGCACTGAGCATGGGGGCGGGTCTATCATAATTTGTGTGTTTCAAACAATCGCTCCTGAAATATTTCACTGACGAAGTGAGGAAATAATTMAGTTATTCGCAACAAACACCCATAATCTCCAAAGAGCTGAAGGTGAAAAGGTGATTACTGCCAAAGTTTAATGAAGTCAACTCATCATCAGAGTTTGTTGACAGAATTTAAAGTAAAGGAAGATGAAAAACAACTTAAATATCTTAGRATAAGAAACTGTTTTGGGGGTAAAAATCCCAGAAATCCTCACAGCTGCTGTAAAGGACTTTTACAAGCTGGGATTCTTGTCAAAGGCATTGAATGAAGTCCATTTTCTTTTGTCTTTTTCATTACATTTTTAAATGTTAATCTCCCCTAGGTGTTTGTTTATTGTCTGGAGGGACTACAGATGTAAATTAGCCTAAGACTAAATCTGGTGCAGTTCATTGAATGTGTTTACATTTATGTTTTAATTGCACACTGTCCTGATTAAATAAAATGAGATTGTTTTTGGTTTTTTTTTTTTGTTTTTGTTTTTTGTTGTAGTCCTCTCCTCACTAGGACACGTTTTTAATAGTCTATTTTATAATTGAGTTTCTTTCAACAGATTTTGATCATTTTGACTGTGTGAAAAATGGCAGCTAACTGCAGTAAAAGTAACAAATAAGCTGTTTTATTGATACGTTTTTTTTAAAACCCCTGTTTTCAAACTATTTAAAACAGTTTTCTGTGCTGCAGCTTCTTCTGAACATGTCAACAGCTGCAGGAAGCTGTTACTGAAGCTACTTCAATGTGAAATCCCTGAAACTCCCTCAAGGGGCTGCAAGAATGTCCTCATTCTCCCCATTTTCCTCTTTTTTTAAAACTTTTTGCTTTAAAGTTGTTTTTTTTATGCTTCTACTTTTTTTTCCTGTCATTCTCACTTTTTCTGCCTTTGGTTGGCATGTGCAACCAGTTCCTTTGCTCTTGTTTCCTTTTTTTCCCCCCCAGTGAGCACTCTTGACTTTTAAGGATGTGAGGTTTGGGGATGGGTGGGGTGGGGGGGTTCTGACCCTGACACCCTGACGTTGTGCACACAGGATTGTCAAACTGTCAATGACACAGAGACCAGAGTAAACTGCGAGGAGAAATGCATGTGTCAAAAATAAATAAATAAATAAATAAAAGCACCAGGTAGCGCCTTTACGCTCCCCCACATACAGAGTGGCTCCATCATATACAGCGACCGGGCTTTGTTGCCATGACAGCAGGGGTTTTCTTATGCGGGCACGGTTCCCCGTGAAGAAACAGTTTATTAAAAAGTGTTCCTGACCTCCCCTGTTCATAGTTGGCTGTCAGTTTGTGGCTACGGATTGATTTTTGTCTCCTGCTGCAAATGTGGGAGGATTATATCAGCCGGCTCTTTCTCTGTCCTTTGACTTTTCATTGACAGCAGCGAACCACGCTTAAATGTTGCGTGGTTCCTGACAAACTTGGCAGCAGTCGGACGTGGGTTTGTGCAACCCTGTTTGCCTTTACTGGTCCCCCCCGCAATGGATAATTGTGCTTGTTTGTCGCCGGCAGCTGTCGTTTCCTTTGTCTAATCAGAGTTGTGGAGGAAGCGGCGTGTAGCAGCCTGTTTGCAKAGGTCACATTGTAGAGTCTGGGTTTATTTTGTCCTTGTGTGTTTTTACTGGATCTTGTTGTGGCTCAGCGGGCCTAATCTGTGCCATCTCTTCACAGGCCGTGCTAATGAGTCAGCAGGACAAACTGGATCGTCGGGTTCAAAACATTGATGGGCAGCTCAGCAAGCTGGAGTCAGACAAGACCCTTATGAAGGTAGAGGTTCAATTATGAAGATTGTCTTCAAGTTATGAAAGTTATGATAAGAAAAAAAAAACATCCCTCTGTTTATTTCTGGACTTCTTTTTTTTTTCTCCGCAGGAGACCGTATCCGAGCTGAAGGAGCGAGTCCGGGCGCAGTACCAGAAGATGCACGCGCTGCTCGAGGCAAACCAAGCAGARGCCATGCAGATGTTGGAGAGCACGTTCATCAAGTGCGTGAGGAAGAACTCCCAGCAGGTTCTGATGCTCAACGAGAAACGGCAGGAGGCAGAAAAACTCCTGAGCTCGGTGCACACGTGCCTCCAGAGAGCGGAGAGTATAAACTTCATGAAGGTGCAAATCAAATCTTCCTCTTTTTCCTTTCTTCTGCTCAGACAGCATGTTCGTGTCTACAGTAATCACAACTACAGCGCCACAAAACACTGCCGTACATCCTAAAATAAACTCAAAACTAGAGAAACTGCTGTTTAGGTTTTGTAAAATCGCAGACTGATGAATTTGATGCAGAGGTTGAAACAGGTGTTACRGCTAAAAGCAGCAAAACACYAGSTAATTGTAGCTAAAAGTGAACTGAACATAGTGAAAAGTTAGCTAGAAAATAAAGGTAGCAAAACACTAGCTACATTTAGGTTTTAGCTGGCCTTTTATGACCTTTAGTTCACATTTAGTTACATTCAGCCAGGGCTTTGCTACACAGAGCCCCGCAGATTTGACAGTATTTGCAGTTTTCTGTTCTTTCAGTGAAGCTCTTTGAAGACAAACKGTGTTTAATGATTCACACAACTTATTGTCTGTTTCAGAACACGAAACCTTACCAGCTGCTAATGGACAGGTAAGCCTCTTTACAGGAAAGCTCTGGTTTTCACACACCTGTTTAATTATTCACCTGTTTTTGAATCAGCCATGTGGAACCTTTTAATGATTTGAACTAAACCTCTTCTTGTTCACATCATCCTGTTGGAAAATGTATGTAAATTATCAGTTTGGTGTATCTGAGAGTCATTCCCAATACACACAAGATCCTGCAGTTTTGTTTGTTTTTTTTGGCCAAAACAGCTAAAATGTGTAATTTCTCAACAARATAAGTTTAAAACCTAATAAATGATTGTTAAAATTTATATTTTTTGTTATTTTAAGTTTTGACAATCCTATTTTAATAATACTGTAGTTGTAAAAACTGATGGGCAAAAACTGTAAAATGTTCAGATTTTTTTCGTACTCAGCTAATGGGAGCTGAAGATAACATGGAGCCTCCTCCATTTTATTGTTTTATAACTTTATAAACCAAGTCTAATATTTGCCTACAGCTCAACCTCTCAGACGTGAGGACCAGCTGGTTTTCTTCTCTACAAACAGCTTGAATGTGGGCTTAGTTGCACTTGTGTGTCTTGTTTTAGGTCAAACTCACACCTAAGTGGTGCCATCCCCCCGGTTAGGGTGGGCCAGCTCAACTCTCAGCATTTCCTCGCCGACCTTTTAACGAGGGAGAAGAATTTGCGAAAAATGCTTGAAGGTAGGAAAGAAAAATAGCGAATGAAGACTTTCGTGGCGACCTGAAAATGTGAACGAAAATAATTGTTGTCTCTTTTCTTTCTCTGTCTCAACCCCACCACCATCAAAAACCAACATTTTTTAAAATTGTCAGAACCGTTCAATGAGGCGTCTGTTCTTGAGATAGTCCAGCCTCACAGCGGCTCTGCTGACTCCCAGCTGGGCGCAGGTTCGGGACTACAGAAGAGGAAATACAGCGTGGCTTTCCTGGAGAGCAACACAGAAAACTCCAACTCCCAGGATCCTTTGCTCTACAGCAGTAAAAAGACCTTCATGACAGATCAAACTCACCACGCGTCCTCCGTGTACTCCTCAGACGTCCTCCCCCAGAACCCTCACGCCTCCAGTCGCCTCTTGGACCCGGCAGCCCATCACATGGTGGGTCTGGGGTCTAGCTCAAGCCGCCACTCAGGAAACCTCTTCCCCTCCTCTCACTTTCCCGGCGGAGGTCCGTCGCAACAAGCCATGTACGAAGGCAGGAAAGTACTGATGTGCACTCTGAATAACTGCTGCTGCTCCAGAGCCAACGCGGCTCGCGCCCAGCCTCCGTACCCGCCGTCGGACTCCTTCCCCTCTATGACCTCTCAGGAGTTCCCCCCACACGGCCCGCTTCCTGCGACTCAACCGCTGCAGCATTTCCCTATGAGGGGGCTGATGGATGTGTCGCAGACCGCCCGGCACGCCGACTTCTACGGCCTGTACGGCCAATCCTCCACCAAGCATTACGGGACCAAGTAACCAATCAGAATCAGTGTTCTGTTACAGCGTCATAACTGGTATTATTGTTCTCATGCAAGCCTTTATTTTTATTTTATTTCCTTTCTCTCACAATCCGTTCTGAGTTATTTTGTCTGTCGACAGCACTTGTAAGAACCGTTTTAAGCCCCCCGATCACAAAAACACTAGTAATGCTCAAAACATGCTGTAACTTACTCTTCATTTTATTTATTTTTTTCATTTCAGTTACACTTGAAGTGCTAATGAAACGTTTTAGTCTTAAATCCATTCAAGTCCTGACTAAAGAAGTGACGTATCCRCCGTCTGGGATCTTTGTGCCTGAAAAAAACAAAACAAAAACAAAACAAAAACAGACTGTTAAACACACTTACTGTACTTGCAATTTCTTAGCTCTCGGGTTATTCGCTGTTTGCGGCTGAAATCACGCAGGGAGCCTCCCCATGCGGTCGGAAGGCCACGCAGCTTTAGGAAAAACCCTTTGACTCCAAATGCTTGGCAGTTTTTTCATGTATTTTTTATAGAAAAAAAATATGAATATACCAAAAGATGTTGAATAAATAAGGATATTAAAAAACTCCTTTGTTGTATTTTAGGCTGTGTTTTACGGAGTTTTATGTGTTGTAGATTTTTTTTTTTTTTTGCGCTTTTGCTTGTAAAAATGGGACAAAAGGCTGAAGGGCCACTTGTTAGAGATGCACTGTGTGTCTCAGAAACAGAGCGAAGGAGGTTTGAACAATGATTTGTTACAGCGCGGCCCGCAGCAGGCCCATTATCTGCCAATTTAGGACAGTTCACTTCCTTGTCAACATCCTGGTCTCTGGCAAAAACTCTCTGTCTCATCCCTCTTTGTCTCATTATTGGAGCTGGTTGTCAGGTTAGGTCAGAGAACAGGAATAACTGATGAGCAGCGGCGCCCCCCTCCCTCTGAGCCCACCCCCCTTCCTCTCTTCGGGGTATCATTTGCCGGGGCTGGGAGCGGATGAGGAGGGGTCGGCTGCAGATGATATAAGCGCAGAGTTTTAATGAGGGTTGGGATTGCACAGTCATCTACTTATCTGTCACTCATGCGCCTTTTTGCCGTGACCCCTCCCCCACAATGGGATGGCAAAGCGAGCTGGAGGGGGGGCCAAAGTCAGGCTTGAAAAGAGAGAATAGCGAAGGGGTCGGTGGCAAAGCGAGCGAGGCTTATCATTTATTTATTGGTCATAAAATCACCCTTCAGTTTCATTATTATTATTATTATTATTATTTGGAATGACATTAGTTCCTTTTTTTATTCTAAATGTGCAACTTTTTTTTTATAATTTCCAGAAAACCACAGCCAGAAAAAGGAGGTGAGGTTTAATCACTGCATAGCAGTCTGATGTGTAACATCCTTTATGCTTTATTTATCCAGTAACAAAGCAGATAATCTGAAGGAGGCCAAAGAAAATATTTAAAATCGCATACATCTTACTGACTTTAAGTATTAGTACAAAGTTTAAAATTGAAGAAAAAGTATATATATTTTTGTGTCATTAAGCGTGTGTTAAGGTGTGAAGKGTTCAGTGAATGTGTGTCCTCAGTCAGGTAATGTTTAAGGTAAAGGTTGACACGTTGACAGCTGGGCTCTGTTGTAGCAGGTGTGTGTGAGCTGTATACGTACAACACACACCTGCCTACAACAGGACATGAACCAGTGTGTGTGTGTGTGTGTGTGTGGGTGTGTGTGTGTGTGTGTGTGCAGCTGCTGCTTGTATGCTTTTGTCTGCGGTTCCGGAAATTGAGAAAGTAAAGGTGGGCACCCTTCTTTGTTGAGTTCTTGCTCAGTATTTTTCATCATTTCTCAGAGTTTGCAGCATTTGAATGTCACTCTTATTT